GCTTCTACTACTCATTTTTGACCTACCAGGCCAGTCACTACCACGAGGAAAGTTAATTCTGTCCTTTACCAAACCTGCTTCTTACCTCACATGCCCATTATCCCCGAAGTTTCTGTAAATAGATTTGTGCTGTTGTTTACATGACTCTCCCTGCTGTCTTCATTTAGGCTCACTGTGATTTCAGAGGATATTTTCTTTTCCTCTTCTAGATAAAGGAACACTAGACCATTTCTCTTTTCAGAAACTAGAGTGGCATTATGGGTGTTCTGCAGGGGATGTGACGCTGTCCGCTAATGAATGTGAACGGCATCCACTAGCTTCCATAATTCTGAAAAGACACATTTCCTAGTCTCTGTTTCTATTTTCTCACCCCATTCCTCAAAAAAGGATCCCAAGCAGGCCATCTTGTCTGCCCTTACATCTTTCAAGCTTTTCCCACATCACCAGGAGGAGCCACCTAGTTGCAGTGATGCCAGGGAGCAGTCCCTCAGGAAACAGGGCCTTCCCAGAGAATTTTACATTCTCTCCTTTCCCCAAACTTTCCCCAAAGGCTCACTCACAAGGAACTTGGTTCTCAGAGCCAAGCGGGAAAGGCCGGCCTCACACCTGCTTTGAGGGGGCCACATTCCTGGGTCACACCGTCCAGAACAGCCCCCACAGCTGAGAAGCAGCAGCTGAAGGAGAGATGCCTCCTTCCTCCCGGGCACAGGGCCTCGGGAAATGTGCGGAGCCCCACCTCACTCCGAGGGAGCAAAGTGAGCCTGCAAGATGACCTCCGTCATCCTTGTCTTGCTCTGCCTGTTCTGAGAAGGGAGCAGGAAGGGAGGAAGGAAGCAAGGAAAGAAGGAAGGACAGTTCATTAGAAGAGGTGTGAGAGGGCAGAGAGGGGAGACCTGTCATGTGGCTACCAATGGTCCAGGAGACAGGTGATGAGCAGTCCAACCAGCTGAGTTATGGAGACCAGTTAGGTTGAAGGAAGGGAACTTAGACAAGAAGCACCCATACTGGGGGTCAACTGCGAGGACCTGGTGACTCTGGATGTGGGGTGAGTAAAGAAAGGAACTTGACAGTTTACAGAACACTCTCAAAGGAGGCAAGAGCCAGGATGACGCAGTGTGGAATGGCATTCGAGCAAGCCCAAACTGGCGTGACGAACCAGATGAGCGAGGCCCCACCTCCCACTGACAGAGGCTGGTTCAATCGCGAAGCAGACCCAAGGTAGAGGAATCCAGGCCTGCTCTGCATCTTCTCCAGGAGAAGGGCGTCTCAGGCTAAATCCACCTGAACATTCCTGTTTGTTTCTCTCAAGGACCGGACTCATGGAAGAATCCCACACACGGAACCAAAACCTCAAATATCCCTATGGAAACAGGAGACACGCCTGGATAACAGCCTGCTAACTTGGTAAGCTCCACACCCAGCAGAACCCAGATGCCTTGCTAACCCACCTTCCAAATGAAATGAGCCTCTGAAACCGCCAGGGCAAAGTAAAGTTCAACCTGACAGAGCAGAATCCCCATGGTATTTTCTCCCCATCAGTCCACACCAGTCTTCCAAGGGAGAAGTGGTACATTTAACTCAAGAACGTGTCCCAGTCCCATGATATGAATGAAGCCCAATGATGTTGCCATCAGACAAACAGGGCGAGCATCTCTCTGGAAGAGCACTGGCCATTGGAACTTGCTGTGAGGACAGCAATGGCTATTGGGCACTGGAATTGTAGCCATCGTGACTGAGGACCTAAATGTTTAGTTTATTTAATTTTCATTCATTTAGATGGCCACCTGTGGCTAGTGGTTACCAAAGTCAGTGTAGATCTAGAACTTAAAAAAAAAAATAGGCGGAGGCCAGATCACATCTTCCTAACCTGCCAGAAAAAAAAAACAAACATAAAATTCTATTTCTCCACTGCAAGGGAATGGACTTTAAACAGCTCATAGCATCTGACCAAGCTATTTACCAGCACCGAGCCCTTCTTTGATCATGACAGCTACATATCAACGGGCCTCCAAAACATCACAGTTTGTGTCCCTCAGGGAGCCTAGCCCGACTGCCTACCCACCACAGGAACCTTCTCCATGACACCCCTGCACATTTCTTTGCGATCTTTACCAAGTCCCCTCAGCAGCAGCGGAACTCAGCATCAGGAGAGGCAGTCCACCCCCAAATCCGAGGATACACTTCCAAAGAGAAATCAAGCATGCTCGAAATAATAAAAAACTAATTCTGCACCATGCTTTACCTCTTATGCAGCCTTTGCATGTGCATTATCTCATGTAAGCCTCACCACAACCTTGGGATATAAGCGTTAGCAGACACATTTACTTTCCAGAGGCTGAGGTGAATCAGCCAAGGCAATCTGGCTGGTATACGGCAACCATGAACTCTAACATGGTATGTCTTCCAAGGAGTGAGAGATCAAAAGACAACTGAGAAGTCAGGGTCGGAAGGGGGAAGGCAGGAAGAGGGATCAAAGGAGAGGATATAGTTACGGACGTCAACTAGTGACTCCAGAAACTGGATCTATTTCAGTCTCAATCATTAAAACATGAACAGCCTCCATTCCAAAAAGTAAAGTATCTCCGTCGAGGTCTAACTTATAGGGGACTATGTTCTAAAACAGTGCTACTCAAAGTGTGGTCCCTGGACTAGCAGCAACAGTATCACCTGGAAACTTGTTAGAAATACAAATTCTCAAGCCCCATCCAAGAGCTGCTGAAATAGAAACTCGAGAACGGGGGAGCAGTCTGTGTTTAAATAAGCCCTCCTGATGGTTCTGATGTTCACTCACATTTGAGAACCACTGATCTGCAGTTATATATCTAAGGCCCAATCCGTTTCTTCTGGGAAATAAACAACTTGGTCATCAAGGGAAAGGAAAGGGAGCTGCCAGTTGTGAAGTTTAGGACATGAATGACCCAGTGACATCAGACTTGGTGACATCAGCCCTGGAGACATCATCCCTGGCTTACTGGACCTCAGGTACCAAGGACCGGAAACTCTGAAGTCTGAAGATCTCACGACAGCACATACCCCCTGCCACTTCCTGTGATCAGGGCAGAGAGGAAATTGTTTTTTACTCAGAAAAATCTTGATTTATAGGTAGGAAAAAGGTATATTCTATAGGGAGTATCAGGTTGTAAATAAAGTAAACCAGCTTCTAACCTCAATCAATGAATAATATTTGGTATACAACACAGTGTTCACAACTGTGAAAAGGTTGGCTTCTGCGAGGAAGAACTGGGATTCCAGCTACTCAGAGAAAAAGATCTATGAGAATACACATAATTTCATAAAACCACTTGTCTCTCTGCTATAATATAATGTATATAATATATAATATATAATAATAATAATAACTGAGTGCTTTGAATGTGCCCAACACTGTGCTAAGTGCTATACATGCATCATTTCATGTCACCCACATGCAACTCCACAAGGTAAGAACTATTACTATCTCCACTGTATCCATGAGGCTTTCCAGGTGACACTCCTGAGACCACACAGCAAGGAGGCAGCAGGGCCAGGAAGCAAACCAGGTCTACCTGACCCTAAACAACCCAAAATACTACTGCCTTTCTCACTTTGACACATTTTCTAATTTGAAATCTGTTCAACCTTATTCTTACTCTTTACATTATTCAGTTTTAGGTACCACACTTCCTATAAAAAAAAAAGCTATTCTGCCACGTGCTGTTCAAAACAGTCCTCAGCCACTCAGTGTACTCAGAGTCCTTCAGCATGTGCTCAAGAACAAGGTAACCCACACTGAGGAATTCATGCCAATAAAGATATCCAAAAACTGCATAAAGGCAAGAACCCACTTTATTCCCACCAAGCTTGGATGACACGCCCAGGGAAGCCCTCCCTGACCACCTGGCCAAAGCGAGACCTCCCTGCCGCTCCTCTTCTCTGTGGTCCCACAGTACCTCCCGCTCTCCTCTATTATGGTATAAACACTGAGGAACGTGCACACGTGACCTCACTAACTGGTGAGCTCTGAGGAGTAGGAACCACTCCTGATTCATCTCTGTGTGTCCAGAGCTTTAAATACATAATAAACACTTAAGAGATGGTCTCCAATATCAGTAGCAAGACATACATGTTCTTAAGAGGCTAAAACTAAACTACCATTTGAATGTAAAATGTACAACTATGAAACTTTTAGAAGAAAACATAGGAGGAAACAGGTAAAATGTTCCTAGATGTGCCACTAAAAGCACAATCCATAGGAAAAAAAAATCAGTAAATTGGACTTTATCAAAATTAAAAACTTTTCCTGCAAAAGATCCTATTAAAAGTTTGAAAAGACAGAATACATACTGGAAAAAATATATATATGCAAGCCACATATCTGACAAAGGACTTATATCTGGAAGATGTAAAGAATTCTCAAAGCTCAATGGCAAAAAAAAAAAAAAAAAAAAAAAAAATTCCAGTTGGCAAAAAAGGAGCAGACATCTCACCACAGAGGATATACAGATGGCAAATGAGCACATCATTAGCCATTAGGGAATGCAAATTAAAAACATGATGAAACTAGAACACTCATTGGGACAACTAGAATAATTAACAAATGTTGGTGAGGATGCAGAGAAACTCAATCTCTCACACGTTGTTGGTGGGAATGTAAAATGGTAAAGCCACTCTGGAAAACAAGTCAGCAATTTCTTAAAAAACTAACGTACACTTACCACGCAAAACCCAGCAATCACAATCCTAGGCATTCGTCCCACAGAAATGAACTTTGTCCTCACCAAAAATTGTAGATGAACATTCATAGCAACTTTAACTCTTAAGAGCCAAAAACTGAAAATAACCCAGATGTCTTTCAATGGGTAAATGCTTAAACAAAACTGTGGTATATCCATAACATGAATATTACTCAGCAATAAAAAGGAACAAACTAGTGATAATGCAACAATCTGGGTGGATCTTAAGGATATTACACTGGGTATGCTGGCTCAAGGGTAAAAGCTAATTTCAAAAGATCACATACTGTGCTCACTCCAGTAGCACATAGACTTGAATTAGAACGATACAGAGAAGATTCTCATGGCCCCCGTGCAAGGATGACACATAAATTCGTGAAGTGTTCCATATTTTTAAGTGAATCACTTAAATAAGCCAGCACACAGTTAAAAAAAAAATTAAGCTTTGTGAAAGCAATGATAACTACAATGAACAGCAAAAGGATAAATGTGAAGATGTAAAAGAAGACATCAAAATCATAAAATGTCAGGGAGGGGACTAAGAAAATGTAGGGTTTTTTTAAGAATATGTTTGAGCCTATATGACTACCAATCTATAGCAAGCAGACACAGTAATGGGCTAACATACTTAAAAAACACAGTAACCATAAATCAAAAACATACCGTAGATTCACAAAAACCAAACAGAAGAGAAACACAAGCATAATACAAAGAAAATCAACAAACCACAAAAGAAAAAACTAAAAGGAAAAGAAAGGAACAAAGAAGAAATAAAAAATCAACTGGAAAACAAGATTTAAAAATAGCAATAATTACTTTAAATGTGAATGGACTAAATGCTCCAATCAAAAGACAGAGAGTGGCAGATTGGACAAAAAGACAGAACCTACAATATGCTGCCTACACAAGACCCATTTTAGAGTGAAGGACACACATAGAAAGTAAGAGGATGGAAAAAGAGATTTCATGCAAATGGAAATGACCAAAAAGCAAGGGTAGCTATACTGATATCACACAAAATAGACTTTAAAACAAATGTTATAAAGAAAGATAAAAAAGGACACTATATAATGAAAAAAGGATCAATACAAGAAGAGGATATTACACTCACTAACAATATGTACCCAACATAGGAGCATCTAAATACATAAAGCAAATACTAACAGGCATAAAAGGAGAAACTGACAGGAATACAGTAACAGTAGGAGATTTTACCACCCCACGCACATCCATGGACAGATCTTCCAGACAAAATCAATAAGGCAACAGAGATCCTAAATGGTACAATAGAACAGTTAGCCTTAATTCATCTTTTCAGGACATTACATCCAAAAAAACCAGAATATACATTCTTTCCAAGCTACATGGAAAATTCTCTGGGACTGACCAGATATTAAGACAAAAACCAAGCTTCAACAAATTTAAGAGGATAAAAGTCATTTCAAGCATCTTTTCAGATTACAATGACATGAAACTTGAAATCAATCACAGACAAATGAGAAAAAAAAGATTACATGGAGACTAAACAGCATGCTACTAAAAGAACCAGTGGGTCAATGATGAAATCAAGGAGGAATTTTTAAATGCCTTAGGACAAATGACAATGAAAACACAACCACACAAAATCTATGAGATGCAGCAAAAGCAGTTTTTAGTGGGAAGTTCATAGCAATATAGGCCTTTCTCAAAAAAACAAGAAAAATGTCAAATAAACAACCTAACCTACCACCTAAAAGAATCAGAAAAAGAACAAACAAAACCTAAAGTCAGCGTTAGGAAGGAAATAATACAGACCAGAGAGGAAATAAACAAAATAAAGATGTAAAAAATCAGTAGAAGAAAATCAAACCAAGAGCTGGTTCTTTGAAAGGGTAAACAAAATAGACAAACCTCCGGCCAGACTCATCAAAAAGAAAAGAGAAAGAACCCAAATAAAGTAAGAAATGAAAGAGGAGAAATAACAACCAGTACTGCAGAAATACAAAAAAAAAAAAAAAAAAAAAAAAAAAAGGAGAGAGAATATTTTGAACAATTACATGCCAACAAACTGGACAACTTAGAAGAAACGGACAAGTTTTTAGAAACATACAGCCCACCAAAACTGAATCAAGAAGAAATAAATAATTTGAACAGACCAATCACTAGAAGTGAAAAAGAACCTGTAATTTAAAAAAAAAACAAAAAGCAAAAAAAACCCCGCAAACAAAAGCCCAGGATCAGATGGCTTCACTGAGGAATTCCACTAAGCATACAAGAAGAGCTCACACCAATCCTTCTCAAACTCTTTCAAAACACTGAAAAATGGCCATCATTAAAAAGTCTACAAATAACAAATGCTGGAGAGGATATAGAAAAAAGAGAACCCTCCTACACTGTTAGTGGGAATGTAAACTGGTGCAGCCACTATGGAAATCAGTATGGAGATTCCTTTAAAAATTAGAAATAGAGTTACCATATGATCTAGCAATCCCACACCTGGGCATATATTTGGAGAAAACTCCAATTCGAAAAGATACATGCACCCCAATGTTCATAGCAGCAATATTCACAATAGCCAAGACTTGGGAGCAACCTAAATGTCTGTCAACAGATGATTGGATAAAGAAGTTGTGCTATATGTACACAATGGAATACTACTCAGTCATAAAAAAGAATAAAATAATGCCATTCACAGTAACATGGATGGACCTAGAGATTATCATACCAAGTAAAGTAAGTCAGAGAACCATATGACGTCACTTATGTGTAGAATCTAAAATATGACACAAATGAACTTATTTATGAAACAGAAACAGACTCACAAACATAGAAGACAAATTTATGATTTCCAAAGGGGATCAGGGAGGGATAAATTAGGAATTTGGGATTAGCAGATACAAACTACTATATATAAAATATAAATAACAAGGTCCTACAGTATAGCACAGGGAAGTATATTCAATGTCTTGTGATGAAGCATAATGGAAATGAGTATGAAAAGGAATATATTTATGTGTAACTGAATCCCTCTGCTGTACATCAGAAACTAACACAGCATTGTAAATCAACTATACTTCAATTTTTTAATATTTAATTTAATTTAAAAAATAAATAAAGAGAGAATATGAGTCAAAAGTATTATGGAGACAAAGAAAAACTGAGTCAAAATAAAACCCAGTTATGCAGAAAAGAAAGATCACTTACAGCATAATTTTATTTATGTAACATTCTCAAAATTATAGATGGCGAACAGATGAGTGGTTACCAGGGTTTAGAGACTAGGTAGGAGGATGGGGGGGGTGACTATAAAGAGGTGGCACAAAGGACATCCCTGGAGGATAGAACAATTCTGTACCTTGATTGTGGTGGTAGCTACAGGAATCAACACATGTGAAAAAAATTGCACAGAAGTGTACACACACAAACCCAAGCGTGTGCATGTAAAACTGGTGAAATCTGATGGACTGGTCTGGATGGTATCAACGTCCATTTCCTGGTTCTGCTGCTGTACTCTGGTTACGTGAGATGTTACCCATGGGGGAAACTGGAAGAGAACGTGGGACCTCTCTACTATTTTTGCAACTTCTCACAAAGCTCTAACCATTTCAAAATTAAACGTTAAACAAACAAACTATACACACAAAGTGAAATACAAGCATCTTACTGAAAAAAAGAAGCGTGTGTAGCTGCACTACTGGCCAGTGAAGTCCCAAGTACAGACTTAAACACGAACAGTAGGACCATGTGACTTTTTTTAAAAGTTAAACCCAATTCTCCAGAGGCTTAACAGGGACACATTTCCTAACTGGTTCGATCTACTCCCCCATTCCCCTAATAAAGGCGGGGTGGGGGGGTGGGGGCGGGGGGCGGAATGCCTAATATGTGAGCCGCTTGGAGAGTCCAGGAGTCTGCTCCTAAGATCTGGAAAGAATGTATCCTAAGGTTTCACAAGGATGGAGGCCAAGGGCCTCGCAAGTTAGACAAGAACTCAGAGCAGTGCCAACACACAAGCCCAGGCGTGGCTCCCTTCCAGAAAAAGTAGTGCACAGACCTACCCACAATGGCCAAGATTTAAATTTGGCCTTCCCTCCAAGACAAAACAAACCAACAAAATCCATTTAAAAAAAAAAATTGCTAAGCAAACAAATAAAAACCTGAACAACCTCAGCCTATTTCCAACAAACCTTATAATCATATACGTCCTCGTACTTAACCTCCAAGTTACCCCTTGCTTTTCAAGTACTCTATTATCTAGTGAATTCTGGGACAGAAGAACCTACCAAAATGAATGAAAAAATAGGAGGGGCGAAATTATTCAAAACACTAGAGAATGTCCTGAACTAAGCTTCCATATGCATTTAAAATGCAGAGAGCTACCAGGACGTAGTTGGGGGCGGTGGATGAAGGATGCTACTTTGGGAGAATTTTGCTTATAGAACTACGAACAGACAGGTCTTACAAAGTTAATTCCTTTTTAATTTATTGGCCCAGAAAAATCACAATTTTCCCTAGCAATTCCCTGTTTCCTAAGTCATTCATTTTTTTTCTTTAAAAAGCCATATGTTATACAGTACATTTATCATTTTCAAAGTATTTTCACAAATTACTATGAAGAAACACAACACTGGTACTCGGGGGCTGTACTTTTCAACAGAACTCTCACCAGCCAGATTGCCATTTGATTTTAATTAGTTTGGCCATCTTTCTTCCAGGTCCTGGGTCCACACTTCTCCACCAGGGTAACATTAAAAAAAAAAAAGCAAGTGCTCTATCCACAGAAGCCTCCAGACTGACTGGCCAAGGACAGACATTCTCAAGTCTAATCAGCAGAGTGCCTTCTCATAAAATTACTCACATTTCTGCATTCCTGTGCTTTTCTTAATGACAGCACTTTAAAATCTCATTTAAACTGAAAGTCCTCCATTAGCTTCTATGAAAAGAAGTATTTTTAACTGCTTTGATCTCCACATGCCCTTCAGTACATTAGTATTCTTCACCCTCCACCATCTGCGCAGAACCTAAAAGACTAAGACTTCTGTGCATTTTAAAAAGAACAGGAAGAGGGGTGGAGCTGTGCGTACACCTTCTCTCCTCCTGTCCACTTGCAGAGTTCACAAGGGTTTATTGATCTTGAAAAATGTATCTCTCAAAAGCAAACTATATCCATCCAGAAACTAAACTTCCCCCCACGCCCCACCAGAGAGCGTGGAGGTAGGCAGCTCTAAAGCCTTCTATGCTATGCCTTACTCCTTTTCATTCTGGTCAAATCAGTGGTTTCCAACCCTTTGCTCCTCTGCAAAACAGTTCCAAGTGTACTAAGTATTGTGCCCACATTGCCCCCATAAAGAGCATCCATATAGATGCACTGTAACATCAGAGCACCCTCCCGGGAAATGAACCTCACACTCGTCTAGAT